GCATCTGATATCTTCCAGGCACTGGACAAGCTGATGGGTGGACAGTGTTACATAAACCAGGCCCTGTCCTCCCTCACACGAAGCTCGCAAGGACAAGTAGTGCTGTTGTGAAATAAGCAGCGTGCGTGTGGATGGGGAGCACAGTGTGGCCAGGGCAGGCTGGCCCGAAGAGGTGGTGGTTAAGCCAAGATGAGGCATCCGCTATGCCAAGGGCTAAGGCGGGAGGCTGGGGGAAGAGGGGAGCTATAGAGTGGGAAGGAATAATCCAGGCCGAGAGGTACACATGTGAAAGGACCCAAGGCAGGAAAGTATGTGGAATGCTGGAGAAACTGAAAGGAGGCCAGTGTGGCTAAAGCATAGAGGGAAGAAAGGGGTGAAGGTTAAGGTTAGGGGAAGGTTAAGGGAAGTGGGGGAGGGGGCCTAGTGGTGCTGGGGATTTCCCTTCCCTTTTTCAGTAGTTATTATATTCCACTATGGAAGCAAGGGTTCTCTCTAATGGCATAGAATATTACTCCTAGTTTAGATTTTTTTCATAAGGGGCAGGAAGAATCTGTTCCTCCCAAGAGCCTGTTTTAATTTGTTGGCCTGCCTGTGGTTCCTTTCTGTCTGTAATGTCAAACTTGAGCTCCCTGCTGGACTTGGGGTTTGGAGACCTGAATTTGTATTGCAGCTCTGTTACTAACTTCCGTGTGACCAAAAAGATTCTAAATTTTTCTGGGCCCCATTTTCATCTGTAAATGGGAGTGATACTGATCTGATCCCAGGGTCATTGTAAAGATCAAGTAAGATATCTTAAAGTGCTTTGTAAGATGTGAAGTGCTATAGAAGTGTGAGGTATCCTTATTATTTTAGTGAAATATTTACTGTCAATGAAATCAAATAACAGAAGTTAAAAGCAGAGTTCTACCAGGGGAGGGCAGAGTATACCTTCCAGATAACTGAAATGGCAGATTCATCGTAGGTAGCTCTCCTTCAAGAGCTTGTTATAAATGCTGTTCCTCCTCTTTTTTCTTTATTTCACCCACTGGGCTAAACCATTTCCTCTCCTTCCTCCTTCCTTAAGAAATGGTTTGCAAAACAATCCATTTCACTTCTCTAAGTTCCAGGCCCATTTGATGTAGGAGCCAAAGCATCTGCTTGGAGACCAAGAGAGCCTTGAGAGCAGAGATGCTGTGGTTTTCAGGGCTTTGGTTCCCAGCAGACAGTACACTCTCTCCCAGGAGTGTATTTAATTGGGTTTGGGGGAGAAGGCAATCAAGGGCACCAAGCCACTGAAAACAGTCACCAGCATAGAACCAGCCCACATGCCACCTACACAGGGCAGTTTCAAGCCAAAGCTTTAGGCTTTCTTTTTTTGTTTTGTTTTTAAAAACAGGTTTTATACAAGCACAGAACTTCTTAAATTTTTAAAAATTTATTGATTAATTTTAGAGAGAGAGAGAGGAAGTGGGGTAGAGAGGAAAACAACATCAATTTTTTGTTGTTCCACTTATTTATGCATCATTGGTTGATTCTCGTATGTGCCCTGACTGGGGATCGAACCCGCAACCTTGGCTTATGGGGAGGATACTCTAACCAACTGAGCCACCCGGCTACCCAGCCAGGGCTTTCTTTTGGGTTTTAAAGGGAGAAATTATTCTTTCTTTTTCTCAAAAAAATGTTTTTCCTTTTAAAATAAGAGGCATAAATGCTTAGGAAACAAAGTGCACTTTTTCCCCTCCGTGGATTTAATGTTCTGTTTTGACCAAAACAGGCAGTGACCGTGAGTGCGGTTAACTACCGCATGTAAAGATCAATGGGTGGTTGTACAGAGTTTACCAGCGGGCTTTTTCTGCTCTCATCTGTTTCTTTGTTATTGTCTGTTTTTCTTTCCTTCATTATTTTTCCCTAAAGTAATACATGTGCTCATTGTAACTAATCAAGCAATTGGAAGATATGTAAAGAAAAAGTTATAATCTCTCTCCTCCAGTCCCCATGTCCACCCTCTGAGATAACCAGTGTTACCAGTTTGGTGTGGATCTGTTCATGCCTTCTTCAGGTCCTTTATAAATGTATACAGGGTTTGTGAGCGTGTATGATTGTTTGTCAGAATGAGATCACACTTTAGTATTTTGCAATTTATTTTCCCAGCAAATGATACATTATAGTTAGTATAACTCCACTCTTTTAATCAGCTTCAGAACTATAGATCTAGAGGTACCACAATATATTCAGCCATTTCATCTTTGACAAATATTCAAGTTGCTACCCATTGTGTGTTTTTCCTCCTGGAAATATTGTTGCATTAAATATCTTTACATACAAATCCCCTACTAGTGCTTTTATTTTTATAAGTTACATTTTCAAAAATAATATTTCTGGATCAAAGGGTATATGTGTTTATTTTAATAAATAATACCATCCTACTTTACAAAGAGGTCTTAACTTACGTTCTCCCCGGAAATATATGAATAGTACTTCCATTTTCCTAAATCCCTAAATGTTTACCAGTATTAGATATTCTTTCCCTTCTTCCCTCCTTCCTCCTACTCCCCAACCCTCCCCCCTTCCCTCCATCTATCTCTATTGTTTTATTTTGTGACCAAGCTGATGGGGGCGGGTATGGGGTGTCATAGTTATTTACTTTGTATATCTCTTACTACTAGTGACATTGAACCTTGCTTCATATTAACTGGCCATTTCATTTTCTTCTGTGAGTTTCCTTCACCCATTTTTCTTTGGGTGCCTTTTTCTCAAGTTGTAGGAGCTGTTTATATATTTATATATCAAGGATTCCATATGTGTTGCAGCTATTTTTCCTAATGTATTATCTGTTTATTAAATTTTTCTACTAAATTTATAGACAAATTTTAATTTTCTATTGTAAAATGTCAATTTTTTTATTTTTCTCTTCATAGTGTCTGGATTTCTCACCTTGTTTAAGAATAATATCTCCACCTCAAAGTTATATAAATATTTTCCTAAATGTTCTTCTAATACTTCTATGGTTTTAATTTAATTCTGAAACTTCAGCCCCTTTGGAATTTATGTTTATACATAGTGAGAGGTAGTAGTCAAGCTTTGCCCCAGATATGCCAGTATCATTTATTAAATAAACCATCTTTTCTATTTTGCTTTGAAATCCCATCCTTGTCATAAATAAGGTCCTTTGTTGTGTCTATTTCTGGACTGTTATTCTGGTTCACAGACCTTTTGTCTGTTTATGTTAATACCTTTTCATTATAATGTTTTTATAGTAAATTTTTATTTTCTCATAAGTCCCATAAATAGTTATTTTTTATAATTTGGATATTTATTATTCCATATGAACTTCAAAGTAACTTTATCCATTTCCCCCCTTCCAAAAAAGTATTAGTATTCTTATTGAAATTTAATTAAAATTACCTAGAAACTACGGAAGGATTGACATTTTGGGATAATTAGCCTTTTTACCCAGAAGCATGCTAGCTGGTTTGAAATATATGTATCCTATTTGTATATGTTGTTATTTTACCTTTAAAATTTCAGTAAGCATCATGAATATTTTGTCTAAAGTAAGACAATATTTCTGTGTTTGTCCCGAATAATCAAGATCCTTAAAAAGTTTTAATTCTGCTATCTCTTCCATCCTCACTGTTATTACTGTAAAATATGTAATACTGTCACATATTGTTGAATTTATTTTTATCTCTTCATTAGCAGCATTTTACTTAGTACTTCTTTAAATTTACCAATACCCTTAATAATTTTTTTGTTCACTGTTGATTCTAAAATCTCACTTATTTTGCTTGTTTTTTGTTTGTTTTGTTCTGTTTTTTATCCTGTCCCAAGGATGTTTTTCCCATTGCTTTTCAGAGAGAGTGGAAGGGAGAGAGAGAGAAACATCGATGAGAGAGACACATCAGTTGGTTGCCTCCCGCACATGCCCCGACCCGGGGATCAAGCCTGCGACCGAGGTACATGCCCTTGGTGGAATCGAACCCGGGACCCTTCAGTCTGCAGGCCAGCACTCTAACCACTGAGCCAAACCGGCCAGGGCTAAAGTCTCACTTATTTTGTGTTCAGTTTCCATTCTCTTGAAGAATGCTCTTGAGTCTCTGAATGGTGCACTTGCTCAGTCTTTGTCTGGAAATGTCTTTTGCCCTCACTCTTGCTACTTTAGAATTTTAGAGAGACCGCACGTATAATGATTGTGAAAGTTATGCATGCCTCTTTAAAAGTTTTCAGCCAGAACAGAAATTGTTAATGTAAGAAGTGAAAGTCTTTCATTCCTTTCCCCCTAGTTTCTGAGTCTCAGAGAGAGCCACCATTTATGGTTTTCTGTTCGGCTTTTTCTATGTAAATACAGAAAAAAAAAGTATATGTATACAAATGCTGTACTTTTTTCTAAGCATAAACAATCATGTTCATACTTTTATTAAAAAGTGATAATATATATCACCTTATGCTACTTTTTAAAAAAATATATCTTTACTGATTTTAGAGAGAGGAAGGGAGAAGGAGAGAGAGAGAGAAACATCAATGATGAGTCATTGATCGGCTGCCCCCTGCACGCCCCTGACTGGGGATCGAGCCTGCAACCCCGGCATGTGCCCTGAGCGGGAATCGAACCGCGATCTCCTGGATCTTAGGTTGATGCTCACCCGCTGAGCCACGCCAGCCGGGCACCTTATACTACATTTTAACAGCCCAGCATCTGCATCTTTTCATATCAGTACAATGAAATCTCCCTCACTCTTTGTAACAGCTTTATAGTTTTTCATTGTATTGATATGCCATAATTTAACTCTTTTCCTATTAACATGTTTCTTTTTGTTTGTTTTTACACAATATGTTCTACTGAACGTCTTTTTATTCACGTCACCCTATCTATAGTATAAATTCCTAGATGTCTGACTGGCCCAAAGGTTGTGTCCCTTTAACATGTTCGTAGATACTGTTCACTTGTCTTCCCACAAGATTGTTTCAGTTTACAGCCCTGGAGTATGACTGGCTCTGTTTTTTATCTTCTGGTTCCTTAGAATTTCCACACGGATTAGTCAACAGTGGAAAATCTGAAGAGATGCGAGCAGGAAGAAGAAACTGAACCAGGTGGGTAGTCACATTGCTCACACCACTCTACTGTGGCATCACGAGTGTTTGCCTAACCTTCATTTCTGTTTGAAGAAAGAAAAGATGGAGGTTCCAAATGAAATTAGACAGGAACTTTGGTCCCACAAAGAAAAGCCCGGATGGCCCTTTTCAGAAGTTATATGGTATCACACTGCAATTTCACAGTCATGATTCCATTTACAGACAGTTTCTTTATAGCATCAGGAAGATACTTTACCTCTGGTGCCTTAAAAGAGAGTGGTTTCTTTAGCCGTCTGCTTAAGCAGATGGCATCTTACACAGGAGTTTTTAGCAAATTGGGTATGATGTCAACTCTCCTGTCTACCAGTTGTTTGCTGTAAAGCTGTTTTCACAAAGACTGGGGCACACTGTGGTAATTTTAATACTGTGATAGAGGAGCAAAAGAAAGCAAAACCCAGCCCAAAGAAATGAGCACTGCCCAGTGGGCTGATGAGAGATGGCTCAGGTGCCCCCCAGTTGGAAGAAAAATGCAGTTCATAGAACATGAGTGGCCTGGAAGTGTGGCCACCTTGGGTCAGTGTTCAGATTGTTATGGTATCTAAATGTTTCTGGCATAAGTCAATAGTCTTCAACAGCCTGTGACCCATGCTTCAGCCACCTTGCCTACACCCCAACCTGCCCACTCCCTTTCAGCACCGTCTCCGTGCAGTTAGGGTAGAATCTCCGGCCTTTGTTTCTCTGTTCAAGTCCTAGTAGTCCTGGGAGTTTGGGGGATTTCCAGCTCCTTTGAATTCCCCCTCATGGCCAGGCCTTCCTCCCATAGCTCTCCTAAGAGCCCTCTTCTCTGTTGGCAGAGCAGGAATCTCGTCTGGCGGGCAGCCGCCCTGGGTTTGGAACTCCCCGGCTGCTCATCAGCAAGGCTTCTGGGCCCTGCCCTGTAGTAGCTTCCCACACCGCCAGGCTTGTGTCCTGTTCTGACTCAGCACCCTGGGGAATCCCTTGGATGCAGATATTTGCAGCAATTAGGATGCAGCAGCAGTCTGCTCCCAGGACTGTTTATCTGGCCAAGGCCGGTTTAGGAGGGCAGGCCTCCAAAGGGCCTCTGTTCCAGCTGCTGTGGGAACATCGGAGGCTAGAGCCACTGAACCCTCGGAGTGCTGGGGTTGTATGAAGTCTAGAGCTGGGCTTTGTAACCAGGGCTTTATGGTTGGCTTCTGGGAATAGCAACCCCCTGTAACCATGGGTACAATTTTGTATGTACACACATGCTCTTTCATACACGCACACACACAATTTTCTGGGCAAAATATCCATAGCTTTCCTCAGATTCTCAGATGTGTTTGTGACCTCTGAATTTTAAGCACCAGTGATCTAGAGAGAACATAAAATGTTGTGGACCAGTGTGTACCCTTGGGCACCAGCCTATCAGATACCAGGATCATGGGAGACCTAACCAGCCTTTAGGTCTTTCTGTTTAGGGGTGAACTGGGACAAATTTCCTAATATTACTAAAGCTCAGAGCCATCCCACAGATGTCCCAAAGTCCAATTATGAAATTGTACCCCCAGCCCCTATTACATCTCACTGAACACACCGGTGTACTGAATATGCTATGTGGGTTTTCAGGTTTGGGGTCCATAGCTCAGAAGGGTTGCTCCAGGCGTTTACACTGACAACATCAAGAACTATTTTGATAAAATTCTGTCTGAGTTACCACTGCCAAGAACAGCATTAAACGCCGTATACACATTATCTTATGTAATCTTCACATCCCTCCAGTGAGGTTGGTTCTGATACTTTACATATGGAGAAACCAAGGCACAGAGAGATCTAGTAATTCTCCAGCGATCACACAGCCAATAAGAGATCACACTGACTTCAGTATGTGATAGATGACCTGAGCTTAACCACCAAGCTTTAAACTAAAAGGGCATTGTTAGAAGAAAATAAAGTAAGCAGAAAAAATATGGGGCTTAATGTAGGGCAAAGAGCCCTGTATATTATAATACTGAGAACATTGCTGTATTGTACCATATTTTTATGATCACGGCAGTGATCTTAACTCATTAAGAAAAGGTTGGAGGGGTCAAGGGGGGATAACTTGACTTTGGGTGGTGAATGCACGACGCAGTATACAGATGATGTATTATAGAGTTGTACACTTAAAACCTGTATAATTTTATTAACCAACGATACCCCAATTTATTCAATAGAAAAAAAAGGAAAGGTTGGTGGTTACTGCATTAATGTATTAGTGCAATACATGAGGAGAATTTCTATCCATTATAATTCAAATGAGGCTTTTTTTACAGCTTTATTGAGATATAATTTGCATACCATACAGTTCACCCACTTAAAGTGTACAATTCAGTGGTCTTCAATATATTCACAGGGTTGTGCATCCATCACTGTAATCAATGTCAGAACATTACCCCCAAAAGAAGCCCATACCCTTTACTCCTCACCCTCCCAC